TATAGACACGTCACATTCCTACCATAGATGTGTGAGTGGATGTGAAAACCTTTATGAGATAACTTTTTGGCTATAGATGGGCATTAAATGCACATGTTCTCAATACCACCTACTCTTACTCAGTGTCACAAGAACTCATCCTCTTTCCGAAAATAACTTGTCAATGGACCTACTTCCTGGACAAAACTTGTACTTGGACCGATAACTTCTACTTCAATATTTCTCTCCTCATAAGTGATATTAAGAACCTAGGGGTAAGTATTTCGAGATGACTAGAATCCCAAAAAAACTGGTCAAATCCATCCAAAGTTCTGCATTAAGTGGCATACAAATGGACACATGCTTTAGAGCATCACATATGAGCACATCTCTCGTGATCATCTTCGTCGTTGATATACATCCAAAGATCCTCTGCATCACACATCAAATCAATTGGAAACGATTCTAATCGTCTCCCGTAACCAAGTATTCTTCGGAAAAGGATTCAGTGACTTTGGATAACATTGGTTGATTTTGATGAAAGGGAATGAAGAAAAATAGAAGAAAAATGAATGACTTCTAGTAGAGAAGACACACAAAGTGACAATCCAACTCATTTTCTTCTATTTCACATTTGTATATATTCAACCTCACAAAAACACTTTAAACTATGCAAAGTGTTGACTTTGAATGTACCATTTTTAATGACTAAAGATCTCAACCACAATTTCTTATCTATTCTTTGTTTCCAATATGAAATACATAGCATAGCATAGCATAAGTATTTAACATTGAACATAACTAGAATTATGGTGTGACGATTTTAAGCCATATTATATTTGTGTTGTGAATTATGATGCCTGAAAAGTAAATAACCTTCCCTAATATCGTGTTTTCTCACCTTAACACAAAACTTTTAACATCGGCAATCCATTTATAAATTATTATTACGAGACTCAAAACCCTAGATTTTAATTTTTCGATTCATATCTTACAAACTTTACCATGAAGGTTTTGATTCCAGGTGACTCAAGTTTCTTGTTTTTCTCACAGTGGAACAAGCTCTCTAGCTAATGAAGCTTCACTGCATCAATTTATCTCGCAATGGCGTTTCAACCCTTTGAACCAATCTTTGCCGAACCCAAACTGGAGTGGAAAACTCACACTTGTTCACCTTTGCGTCCTTTTTTGTTCCATGCTTATGCTCCCGATTCTTCTCACTTAGTAATTCATGTCACGGATTTCCACTCTCATACTTGGGAAGCTCATCTTTCAGTTTCATTGCTTGAAGATATTGTGAGTACACTCAATCACAAGCCGTTGCAATTTCCAAATTGTTGCCCCTTGTGATGTTATTTGATTAAGGGGTTAATAGTTAAATTAAAAAAGTTGTTATTTTGTTGTTGTGAAACATTCATGTCTTCAATTTCAAATTATGATTTTTTTTTTAGCCTTGTAAATGTGTGATAGTATGTAAATTAGCTTGAAACTTGTGAAAGATCTCGATTTTTATTCGTAGTAGTAGTCATCTTTTGACATTTTTGCAGAGGGATATTATTGGAATAGGGGGCTCTTGGTCAGAGTTTATTGATTATTTTGTAACTTCCCTCAAATCAGAAGATTTGAAGCTGGTTCTAGAGGCAGGTTCAAATTCTGATGGTTAGCAGTACTCTTTTTCACTTCTACTTTTTGGTTATTGGTTATTGCTTATAAGTCATTCCAAACAGACTCTTGGTAATTGCTGATTGAATCTATAGTGTCGGGTTAGAGATACTAAAATGTTCTCATTATATAATATCTTATGTGGACGAATCTCTTTGATATGTTGCGATTTATAAATTCTCTAATGCATGCCATGAATAATGCCATACTGTTTGTTTTGAGGAACCATTTTAGGGAAGCATACTGATTGTTCACTCACTCCCATCTATTTTGTGTTTACTTATTTTAGGCGTTAGTTCTGCTAAATTAATTGCTCAAAAATCAAAAGGAATGCCTCTTATCACAATTCCTCTCACCAAACTTGTGGACTCCGGTGCTAGTGAAGCTGTATCAAATTTATCCTTGGGCCTCTTTAAGGCATTCAAAAGTATAAAATGTTCTCTTGTAGATGGTTAGATTCTCCTCCTTATATTATGTCAATCTTTTGAATCTTACTAAATGTCTTGATTTCTGTTTGGTTCTTTCTAACTATGTTCAAAAATGAAATTTTATTAAGTTGAATTACTAGGTTTTATCTTTAGTTGTGCCTTCCAAAGACGTGTGCTACTAATATATAACTTCAATTGGATCTATATGGCCCTGTGCTGGTTTTAACTGTTGTATCTTTTTGTGCCGCCAGTGCAAGAACGCTCTGTCCAGTTGACAAACATGATGGCAGCCGAGAAGGTACAATATCCAAATTGAGTTGAACTATTATGCTTGGGGTATTTATTTATACTTTATTTGGTTGATTTCTCAGATCATAATTTTTTGGTAGCGATTCCTGGGAATTTATTTGCCATTCCTACTTACTATACAACAGTTAAAAATTAATAATGGCAGAGAGTTATAGGGTCCTTATTATTTTAGTGTGTGATTTGTTGACCTATTCTGAAAGCTTTAAAATCATGCAGTATGCAATTATTCCTCTCTTCTTCCCACAGGCTAATCATGGGTTTTTATTTGATCAAAATCCAATTGTGCCTAAATAATTTTTAAGTTTGTGGAAAACTGAGGCTATTATACTTCTCTTGAGTTACTCCCACTGTTATCTTATTATGAGCACTCTTTTTCTCCCTACCAGGAAAGAAATGAAACCATACCACTGGATCGACGACAAAAGTTTCAAAAAATTAGCGACTCAGACAAAGCAGGTGTTTCTAATAATGGAGCGCAAAACTCTCCAGGTGTGTTATGTATTCTGTCATTCAAAAGATATATGGTCTTTAACTAATGAAGTAATTAAAAAGTTGTTAGGAGGGTATAAGATTTTACTGACTTTCTGTGGTATATGTGGTGAATCTATATTGTGAATTTTGTTCTCAAAACCAAGAGTGTGTGAGAGAGACCATATTTTACAATTTCTTCAAAATAGGGAAGAAAGAGAGAAGAAATGCCATTTGGTTACTAAATTTTCATTTATGCTCCTTGTTTGCTTTTAATTTAGTGCTATGTTAAGGGGCATTCTTGTACTCTAGAAAATAATCAACATTTCCCGCTTCACTATTCCTTTTCTTTTTCCCCTATACCAAACAATGCCTCAAATTTTCTTTATTTCTCATATCTCTCTCATCACACTCTCCCTTACTTTGTTTTCTCTTCTCACTTTCTCTTTACAACCAATCACACCCTAATTAAAATATTTAAACTATTGAATTTGTCCACCATTTTCTAGATCTGCATCTATTTCTCCATTTAAGAAAATGACGACTGCATTAAGTCTATTTATCACGTCTGAAGAAAACACTAACCAAGGGTTGAGAGAAAAAAAAAAGAAGAAATGCTACTTCTAGCAAGAACCATTTTGAATATATTGTAACATGAAAAATAGTATCTGAGCTTGTTTTAATGGAGCTTCTGCTTATATTTTAGCGTTGTTCAATAAGCAGGATTCTCTTATATACGTTAAACATTTTGCTTCACCACTTTATATTTTCAAGGGTTATTGAATTTATATTTTTTTCATGTCCCTGTTGACCTGCAGGTAAGCAAACAGCTCGGGATACAGGTACTGCAAAAGCTAAGAATCGTGCAATGCCAGCGTATCGCAGGCAAGTGTTATTACTATTGTGCAAATCTCAATTCTGGTAAATACATTGCGGCTATTATGATAGTATGCTCACTCATCTTTTTTTCTTAGCAGGGCCAAAGTACGAGGGGCGGTCTTGTGCGATAGCGATCCCGAGTCTTAGTCATTAATTCAAACCAGCTGTTCTATAGGAAGTTAAAAGTTTGTCAAGACTCTGTGTTTATTTCCTTCAATCTATTATCTTGTACTATTTATTGTATAGCATGGAAATCATATATTACTAGTTAGTCCAGTCACATAAAATTTCAGTTTTTCGTTCACTTGTCAACTATGCAAATGAAAATTGCTCATTTGATGTTTGTTCATCTCACTGCCTGTTTCTGTTTCGGGTAATCCTACATGTCTCCAACTACTGAAGACAATTTTGTTTATGGAGTCGTTGGACACTAAATATATGCACCTCTTCAAACGAAGATTTGAATCATAGTTCGCCGCGTTTGGAAAGATTAGTCTCTTCTGCCCGACTCAAGCTCCTTTGGTAAATCTAAACTAATCTTACATTATAATGATGAGCTCGTTTAATCTAAAGTTATTGACACAAATATTTTCAATTAAAAATTAATGCTTTGTTCAGTTTGTGTATATGATAAATCTCGTTTCTTAAAATATCGGGGAAGGCAGAAATCTGTAATAAGCAGTTCTCCACCTTAACTTTTAAAAAATCTGAATTAAAAAAATATTTCTGATTATCTTGAGAAGTTATCTAACTAGCTTCTAAAAATGTAGTAATATAACCATCTCTTAAAATAAAATACTTATTCTAATTATAAACCACAACAAAAAATAATTCCTATTTTAAATAAAATCTCTAAAAAATAAATTACTTTTTTATACCATGTTACATGTAGTCACATTTTCAGTATAATAGCAAAATCACATTTTCGCTGTTCTTTTTTGAGAACAAAGCTGGTGAATTGCCAACAAGCCTGAAATGAAAAAGAAAATTAGGAGGGATGAAATGAAGGAATCTTGATTTAGAAGAGAAAGCTAATATTGTGAATTAAAGAAATCATATAAAAACAAAAACCCAACACAATAATATCATGTTAGTACAATTTGTTGACACTGGCAGAATCTACAATTCTTTACACTTTTTTTTGGTTGATATTATCTTCTTTGGTTGCTATCATAAGTAAAATCCAAGACATGTGAACTCCATAGAGAGAGAAAGTGTGTGTCAGAGAGAGAGAGAGGGAGGGAGTAACAACAATCCAGAGACTCACCATAGGCTCTAGACCCTTCTCTCTGAGCATTTGTATCTCAGAATAACATAGGAAATGAATCTGTAAACCATGATGAAGCCAACAGTGACACCAACATTCTTCCATCTGCTACCTTCTCCTCCATACCCTTCTTCTTTAAGCACATCCTCACCTTTCATCACACATGTACCAAACATGTACTCCAAACACTTTTTTGAATTGGAGAACTCATTGATCAGAAACCCTTCAAAGGGATACTTAAAAAGTGATATATAATGCATGAATATCCAGTAATTAGGAATCTCGTGGTTTGATATGAAGTAACCAGAGAACAAGAAGAAAGAACCTATAACACCATTAATCACTGAATTCCCAACAATGAAATTAGGCACAAGAGCACTGAAACACACCACAACTGAATTAGCTGTATAAAGAATAAGCCATATCAGTAACAGAAAGTGCAGAAAAGCAGTGAAGTTTGTGTTGAGACCAACAAGCCAGTATAAAGGAACTGTGAACAAAATGGCTAGGATTAGAAGAAATGGCAAGTAAACTAGTCCATTTGCAATTGCATAAGAGGACACGCGGTAGCTTCCGCAAGATGTTTCTTTCATGAGAATTTCTCTTTCTTGTAGAAAAATTGGTAGAGCTTCTATGCTGCTTGATAACAGAAAGGTTAATATGAAAGCAAATAGACCAACCTTTTCTTCTGTTCCTCTTAGATCATCTTTGAGGTTACAAAAGATTGATCCTAAAACTAGTCCTGAAATCAGCATCTGAATTGTCCTACATGCAAATAGCTCTCTTGTACGAAATATGTTTTTGGAGAATCTATGAGTTAGAATCATAGTTTCTCTCAATCTAGAATTAGCAAAATCATAAGAGAAATCCACTCCAGTTCCTTTATTATTGATGATATCTTCATCAATTACTTTAGATTGTTGAAATAGCTGCTGCAAAGTGAACTTACCAATTTTACTTTCACCTGGTTGTTGTTCACCTTTCTTCTGTTGCATTGTCCCTTGCAATAGCCTCTGCGTTTCGGTTTCCACCTGACATTGTTGTTGCTGCTGAATGGTATCGATGGAATCAATAGCAAATTCAACTACATTAACATGAAGAGGAAGCTCTAGACCCATTAATCTCAAATTCAAACTCAGTAAATCAGCACTCCCATGATGTAGCACAGAACCATTAGCCAACAACAATAATGAATTGAACAGCTTCACAATTCTGAAACCAGGTTGATGAATACTTAGTATTATAGTTCTTCCTCTAGTTTCAGCCATAACCTTAAGCATATCAATAATTTGCAAAGCTGAAGTACTGTCAAGCCCAGAAGTTGGTTCATCAAGAATCAAAACTTTTGGATCATGTACGATTTCAACACCAATAGAAACCCTACGCCTTTCCCCGCCTGATATACCTCGGACTCGATCATCGCCGATTCTAGTCCCAGCAACATGATCAAGTCCAAGCTCTTTAATCAGTGACTTGACCCTTGAACATAGCTGTTGTTGAGGAAGTTTTAGCCTTAGCCTTGCACTGAAAATCATGGTTTCTTCAACTGTAAGTAAGGGAAACAAAGTATCCTTTTGAGTAACATAACCTGATAGCTTTCTGAACTGAGATTTTTCAACAGGTTTTTGGTTCAACAACACTGACCCTTTTTGTGGAGTGTGTTTACCTGCTAAGATCTCAAGTAGTGATGACTTTCCAGCTCCACTTGGTCCAACAATTGCCAGAATTTCCCATGGTTTTGCTTGAAAACTCACATTCTTGAGCACATGCCTCACTCCACTGCAACTTTTTTCACCTCTTCTTCCTTCTTCCTCATCTTCTGTTTCTTGACCATTAGTATTATCTTGTTGTGGTGATTTGCTGAAGATTTTAAAAGGGTGTTCTGTTTTGTTTGTGTGGATCTTGTAGTTTATGCCAATGGCTTCAACTTCACAACCTTGCACCTTCATTTCTTTCATAGGTTTTTTTGTTTTGTTTTAACTTTCTTTCTCTATCTCTCTAATTATTCTACTCTCTTTTAGCTACCGAACCCATTATTTGTTTTTCTTCCTCTCTGTTGTGTGCTGTTTTTTAAATCAAAGATTTTGGCCTCAGCTACTGACAGTGAAACAATGGTTGGTTTGCAATGACACTGAGGTCCTCGAAGTTTGTATATAAAAGTTCACGTGCATCTCTTGCTGTTTCTCTAACAATTTTATATATTTGGACACAACTCAAGGATACTTATGTAAATTTAATATCAATAATAACTATTATATACTAACAAAAATAAATAAATAATAATTGACATAACTTACTAATGTTAGTCAATACTACGAGTGATAATTTTTTTCAAGTGCTTTTTTTTTTTTGAAATCTTGGTATCCAGCTGTGATTGACTAATCCAAGAAGATCAATTCTACCGTCCATTTGGGGGACGCCGGTTAAAATCAGAACAAAGTTTTATATGGACATAGTCTAATACAAAAATGGTTTGTATTTAGCGAAATTCGAATATGAGACTTTTTGAGAGTATATTTTTGTTTTGTTTAACATTAATCAGAACAATTTAAGAATTGTAAATCAGCACTCTAAATGGTTTTGGTCTCATGAGAGAATAGTAACATTAGATGCTGATGTGAAGTTATATTCACTCATAACACTATTTCACCTATCTCTTCAAAATTTTTTATAATCAATTTTCATCCCATGTCGGCATGTTCAAGTACAACTTTTTTATATATTTTACCAAGTAAATTTTTTTGGTTTACTACATGAAAAATAATTACAATGTAGTGAATCTAGAGATTAGAAAACTATGAAAGGCTAATCGTATACTCCAATTCTTCTTAGAGTCACAAGTATCAATCAACTACATGCAATTATATCTTCTGCCAGACACATGTTTCTCCACTTTTATTTTGGACTTGTTGATAAAATCATATTCACAATAATACTCAAGTATGATCGTGTAGGCAAGTACAAATGTCTATCATATTCATCACCCAGAAACACGAAACACGTAGGAGTAACAATTTTCAAAGAATTTTTTACCAACATACACTCTGTTTACCAACTAAATCCTAATATACCATCTCCTACATCCAATAATCTCAATCTACCCTCTTTTCAAACAAATTTTTTTTTCCCACAACTCATCCGCCAATACAATGGGCGGAGGAGTGCAATTTTTCTTCATTCTGCATTGGGCGGATGCTGTTAATAATAGAGAGGGTCCGCCCAATGGATGGGCGGATGTGTGCAACCGTGTTTTTTTATTTTATTTTCTAAATTAAATTGAGAATTTTTTACCAACATACACTCTTTTTACCAACTAAATCCCAATATACCATCTACATTCAATAATCTCAATCTACCCTCTTTTCAAATAAATTTTTTTTGTCACAACTCATCCGCCAATATAATGGGTGGAGGAGTGCAATTTTTCTTCATTCCGCATTTGCATTGGGCGGATGCTGTTAATAATAGAGAGGGTCCGCCCATTGGATGAGCGGATGTGTGCAACCGTGTTTTTTTTTCTAAATTAAATTGATATAATTAAATAATATACATTATAATTAAACAAAATACACTATAATTAAACAAAATATACTATAAATAAACAAAAATTTCACTAAATTACATAAATTAATTTTTTTCCATTTTAAATTATATAATTCCAAGACACATCTACTGTCGATTTTGACCGGGTCGTGTCAATCGTTGGTGAGTTCCACAAGCAGGTGCTCGTCTAGTACGTTGGTCTGTTATGCGATTTCCTTCTTCATTTTGTGGTTGAGTTGAAGTTGAAGGTCCCGCGTCACACCCGACCATTAAAAATTTTTCAATCATGTCCTCATTGGTATAGTCTGTCTCGGCTGCACTGCCATAACTTAATCTGGTTCCCTCCCAATTCCAATTTGGTATGGGACTAGAAGACACTGGGCTATTTATTGAGGGTTGGTAACAATCTTGGGAGGTAAATTATTGTGGCCGGGGAATAAGCATTTGTTGTTGGGGTGTCTGATAGTTGGGATTATGTGGGGTTTGTAGTGTTAGTGATGTTTGTGGTAGACTGATTGATGTTGACTGAGTAAGATGTGAGTATTGTTGTTGGGTGCCCTATTGGGTGGGGTTAGATGAAGGATATTGTTGTTGGATGCCCCATTGGGTGGGGTTAGATGAAGGATATTGTTGTTGGGTGCCCCATTGGGTGGGGTTAAATGAAGGATATTGTTGTTGGATGCCCCATTGGGTGGGGTTAGATGAAGGGTTTTGTTGATGGTATTGTTGGCTTGGGGTAAAAGGTGGTTGTGTTGGGAAGAAAGGTTGTTGCGTAAAAGATGGTTGTGTTGGGAAGAAAGGTTCTTGGTTGCTCATGAATGATTGTTGGGTGTAAGTGCTTGATGATGGTCTGGTGTGTTGGACGTTTGAAGATGTTGGCAAATTACGAGGGTCATATAAGAAGTTGTTTAGTGACAGATATAACTTTGTAACAGACTTATACCATTCCATGTATTCCTTACTCGATTTACATTCTTCTGACATGACATCTCCTTGTAAGACTTTATCTTCGCGGTTATGCCATTGACGACGCTCCTGTTTGTAACAATCTTTCCAATTGCTATATGCCCATTGGTCGTTCACCACACTTTTGTGATACTCCTCCATGCATTGTGGAGCATCCGGTATGCCTTGCTTAATGCAAAATTGTAGTTTTACCCGATCAGAATGATGCATTTCAACAGTAGTAAAACATATGATAAATGTTTTTGCACTCCACACGTGACTATCGATCAGATCGGTATCATCAAGTCCTAGATAGGGCCTCCATGTAAACTGTTAAAAAATCAGTTATTAGTTTAACGAACTATATAAAATATGTAATACTTAAAATATGGTTAAGAATATTACATCAGCTTCTTCGAAATGATCGATGAAAGCCCGATAGCCAGGTGCACAATGATGATGAGTCTTTTCGTAATCCATCCCATAGGCAGACCATCTAAAAAAATGTAATACTTAAATATTGTTCACATAGTAAATAAGTTTAAGACAAAGGAGTAGTTACAACTTACTTGGTTACGTACGGAAAGTGAAAAGGATTACGATTTCTAGGCGCTAGATTCGGCATCCTGGACCATCCCCAAGCTTGTAGTAGTGTTGAACAACCAGCAAAATTATGAACATCTTTTTTGGCGCATCTACATAGGTTTCTGTATAGATGCGATAAAACTGCAGATCCCCAACTGTATATACCTATTTTATTAAAGTCAACTAGTAATGGTAAATACATTAGATGTATTGTGTTACCATTCGTGTCAGAAAATAATAAACAAGCGAATAACAATAAAATATAAATTCTAGTTTTTTTTTTATGAATTTGTTCTATGGTGGAATCTTCGTTCAAGTCAAATGCATCATATATTTCCCGGAGCCAAGTAATTTTGACGAATTGTCCGTTTCTAGCTCTTTTGGGCAATTCTTCACCCAAGAGTTCTTGAGTTATGAAGTAGTCAACATTTGTTCTCCCATTCACTGCCAAACCGTTTACACGTAAACCCATCAACATGTGGACATCTTCAAGAGTGATTGTGGATTCACTGGTAGGAAGATGGAATGTGTGTGTCTCCAGACGCCATCTTTCACATAAAGCGAGAATAAATTTCCTATCAACACCATATGACGTTATGTTGATAACGTGCCCAAAGTCCGCTTGCATCAGATATGGACGGATCATTTCGTCTACGGGCACATACGAGTGTGTATGAGGCCTAAATTTTTTCTCATTCTAAAAAATAAAATAGTTAATATTAGAATATGGTTAATGTCAGAAGTATATTCTAAAAATATAAAAAAATTTATAAGTAAATATATTCAATACTTACATATTGGAGTATGTTTGACAATGTTCCTCGATGCTCCTCTCCATAAGTTAACAGAGACATTATAGAAAATTGAGTTTGGTGTAGAATTATGATGAGAAAGATCAGATAAAGATTGAGTATGATGTAAATTTTGAAAAAACGAATAGTATTTATAGAGAAAAAATGTAGGGTTTTATGCAAAATATTTAAGGGAAACAAGTAAATGGTTGGGAGTAATAACTTTGCCATGCATGTTGTGTACGTAAACTGTGTTGCATGCACAGTTTTACAGAATCCGCCTCCTCAATGGGCGAAACCGTTGGCATTTTCTGACACGCCGCTGATACGTTGGGCGGACACGTTACTTTTTGGTCTGCCATCCGCGTAATTAATGGGCGGAAGCGTGTTATTTGGCCTGCCAATGTCGCAGGAGCAATGGGCGGAGCCTATACCAACATCAATGCTTCCTCCTTCCCATTGGGCGGAGCCCTTACACACATTAATGCCACCGCATCTGCAATGAGCGAATGGGTTGATTTTGTCAGTTTGACCATTAAACAATAAATATTCCTACGTTTATTTATTATAATATATTTACTAAAGACAAAATATATTTCATTTAAATTTAGTTCTTCCTCCTACAATTTTTCATCAACCCAACCCATTTAAAAAACAAATTTTTCCTACAATTCAGCTTTTGTTCACTAACAAATCATCATGTCTCAAACACCTCAATATGTAGTGGATGCTCATTACAACGGAGAGATCCTTATCTTTGATGATATAGGCATTATATTCGAAAATACCGATATATGCCGGTTCAAATTAAGTAGAAATGCGAAGTTTGAATATTTGAGGGAGAGGATACAAACAAGGATGCAATCTGGAGCTGTCTCACAAATTATATATTGAAATGCTGTTAATTTCAGTGTGAACCAGGTGAAATATGTTCCATTGAAAATCCGAGATGATGATGATGTGGAAATGTTGTTTTACAACCATGAATTATCTGGGTTACATGCGATAGATTTATACATAAAATTTCAACTTTCTCAACAATCTCAAATCTCACAAGTGGCCAATCCCAATGATGCTGAGCCCGT